CTGAAAGGGTGGTGAAAAGTCTAGAGGGGGAGGGGGAGGGTGAATAGACTTTTCAAGCAATTTTAAAATTTATAACACTATGAAATAACTCCAAGTTAAGTAGATTAAGAATCTAACTTAGAGTGCACAATGGAATAAATGTACGTTAAGTGCTATATTAAAAAAAGTGAAGTACTGAAAAGATGATTACTTCATGCAATACGATAGAAATGTATGTAAGCAGACAATATGCATGCAAAGTAGTATATACGTGAGAATAGTAAATAAATGAGAGAGAGAGAGAGAATTTTTATAGTGGTTCGAATGTGGTATCACTTCCTTGTAGTCCACCTTACTCCTTTCACTCCAAGGAAGAATTCACTATTTTTAATCACCCAGATACAATAGTGAACAACCAAGTGCCACTACAAGAAATTACGCATTTGCCGACGTTTAAAAACGTCGGTAAATGAAAGAAAAACGTCAGTAATAATTATTAGTGACGAAATAAAAACGTCACCATGGTCGTCGCGCTTGCGGCGTATGGAAAGGTATTACTGACGAAACTAAAATTTCGTCGTTAAATGTTATAATTGCCGACGTTTTTACATACTCTAAATTATGTCATGCAAAAGCGAAAATTTGTGACGAATATATAATAAAACGTCAGCAAAAGTATACACGACGAAATTTAAAAAGCTTCGTTAATTAGAGCTTTACTGATGCTTTATATTTTGTAATGCTTGTCATCAATAATAACGATTGGCGACGAAAATTGAGAAATCGTCAAGAAAAGTTTATTGATAAAATCTTAAATGCGTCACAAATATACATTTGCTGGCATTTTATATATTGAAATCTTTGTCATGTATTATGTTATTGGTGACGAATATTATGAATTGTTCCAAAAGAATTTACTGATGAAATTCAAAATGCATCAATAAATATTATGTTGTTTGGTGATTGTAAATATTTTTATTTGTAGTGCAATTATAAACACTAACTATCAAAAAAATACAATAGTATATAATTAATAAATTTTATATGACTAGCATTAAAAAATTAAAATATTGTAATATAGTACTGAATTACAAGGATATAGTTCAAGTAAGTATTCTAATAGATTTTGCTAATAACTACAATACAATATAAATTAAAAAGAGCATTGAATTAGACTCGGCAATATGAAACTTCCAAGTTCTGCATCAGGCTACCTGGTTCCTTTTTTGATAGAGAAAAACACAAGTTAATATGCATGACATTAATAACTTCATTAAGCAATAATTAAAAACACAAGTTAATATGACATATTGAATTTTAATGATACCTAAGGGGAAACAACATACTTTTTCTATCGTTCAACTATTGTGAACAAGTTCAAAATATATACCATAAAATGTAAATCAAAAAATTCATAAGCCTACACACTAACTTGCATACAATTTTGATAATTGAGTTATTCTCCATATAATATAATATAAAAGTAAAAATAATTTCTGAAATAGAGAAAATTTCAATTTTGGTCCACTGACTATTGCACTTGTGTTAATTGCAACACTTGACTTTCAAAAATATTAATTTAGTACTTCGACTATGCAATTTCTATCAATTTTGGTCACGCCGGCCAAATTGCCGGCCAAATCTCAAAATAGCCGGCCAAATCTCACCGGAAAAACTTAAACATTTTAAATAAAAAGGGCAAAAGTGTCATTTCATGTTATTTAAACATCCTTCTCTTCTCCGACATCCTTCCCCTCCTCCGACAGCCTTCCCCTCGTCGCCGGCATCAACAGGGAACATCCAAAAAAAGGCGTTTCTATTACTTTTGTCCATGACCCTCACCGAAGTGTAATCTACGTCAGGAGCCTCCCCCCAACGTTTAGCCTGTACGGAGTTTCCATGGCTGTGGAGTTATCAAAATGGACATCACTTATTATCTGATAATTATTATTGTCGCCTCTAAAGTATAAATCAGACGGCATGGACACAATTTCGATTCCATTCACAAAGGCATAAGGAGAAGGTGAGAAAGTAAGGTTCAGTTGCTGTTCGATTTGGCCGGCGAGAACTTCGACGGTGAATTCCTTTTTGCTGTTCGAATGCCGGCAAGAACTTCGACGAGAAGGTGAGAAAGTAAGGTTCAGTTGCTGTTCGAATGGTGGAGGCGGTAAGTATCGACTTCGACGATCACGGCGCCTCCGAGGAGCAACTCCTCTTGTCGGACACCAACACCGGCGCCGACCGGTCTTGGCGCTTGAACTCCGACGGCTTCCAGAAGGTGTTGAGGAAGAAGAAGAAGTAAATAATTTTTTAATTTTTTTTAACGTAAAATGACTGTTTTGCCCCCCTAAATAAAAAATTAAAAAATGTTTAAGATTTTCCAGTGAGATTTGGCCGGCGTGACCAAAATTGATAGAAATTGCATAGTCAAAGTACTAAATTAACATTTTTAAAAATCAAGTGTTGCAATTAACACAAGTGCAATAGTCAGTGGACCAAAATTGAAATTTTCTCTTCTGAAATATATTGAGTTATCAAAGTAAGAAAGCTTACCCAAAATAATAGGAAGTTGTGTCAGTCTGTTATAGCAAAGTTTTAAAACATGGAGTCACACCAAAAGCCCTGCAATTGATAATTCTAATGTAAGACTCATATAAATTATTGTTTCAAAAACATGTTCATATTTATTAGTTTTTATTCACATTGACAAAAAATTGTTAATTAAGAAATTATTATAAGTACCTCCAATAAAATTTGCTTACCGAATCATTTAAATTCTGGTTAAAGTTGGTGACCGGGATAATAGCTTCTTTAGCAAAAAGTCGGGTACTAAAGATGTTTCAACTCCTTCCAGCAATGATACAAAAGATGCTCCAACACCAAAAGTACTAAATAATACTGGTTTGTAGCTGGCTCACAGTCCATGCTCATAACTTTTGACTCCAAAAGTTCAAACTATGTCCAAAATTATACCCAGGCAATTAAAAAATAAAAAGTTTTACTGCAACTATCATAAGACTGTTTAAAAAAAAAATCATATGACTGAATACTTAAAAATAAATAAATAAATAAATAAACTTAAGTTTAATTGTGTATCTTACCTTGTAATTCACAAAAAATGGTTACCAAGATCTGCAATTCTAAAATTTGTATGATGCATTAGAGTTAGAAGTTCAATTCAATAATTAATAATACTAATTTTAATAATATATTGATACCATTCTTGGGTTGATCTCTCTGCAGCTAATGCAGCAAGTAACTCTTCATACTTTTCATATCGTTCAAACTTCATCTTCAATTCTTGAACTTCATTCTTTAGTTGAGTGTTTTCTTCCATTGTTACTTTCATTTTCTCCTCAAGATGGGAATTATTTGCTCGAGTAGATGTAGATGTCACCGGTTTCGGTCCATTCCCCATTCCCTTAATATATCCTCATCTTTTGCCCATTACGGCATCATAAACCTGATCAGCGGTCATGGGGTTTCCTTCTAACTCTGAAGTCTCTAGCATGGCCACCATTTTTTCTGAAAAGTTGACAAACTCACTTAAATGAAAAATGTTATAAAATATTATAGATCATAATAATAGTTGAAGATTTGTATTGCTTAATGTTTCTAAAATCACTTACATAGTTCTCCTCAGCTTCATTTGTAATCCACTTCTCACTCTTACAACGTGTGAATTTAAACAAAGCAATCCTATTAGGCATAAAACATCCCTCCTCTTTTTGCCTCTACGGTAAATAAATAAGCAATAATCAATTAAATATATATCTCAACTGAACCATAAATGAAATTTTAATACATACGAGTTCATTAAAGACCGGCACAAATGCTGTCGATCCTTGATTATGAGGCATTTTTTGTTGGCTGCGACACCAAGAGTTTATCATGCATTTCACCTATAATATTAAGCATCAAAACCATATAAATATTTTTATCAAGCCAAAAGTATAACCATATAACTATAATATGAGGAAGAAAAAAACTTGTACATCTCCTTTAGACCAATAATCACATAGCTCATTCCAATTATCAGTTGTTAGACCTTTAGGGACATGTAACTTTGCCTCAGTTGCAGAGTTATATTTCAAGAACTCTTTGTGCAATGCATGCTTGTAGTTTCTATAGCGAACTTTTAGAATGTTCTCCACACATTCAAAGACTCGAGAATCTTCTCGAAAGTTTACAATATCTAACCTCATCTGCAAAAACAAGGAAAAATATTGTAAACTTTAGAAGTTAGGTACATTATTAAATACTGCAAACAATTTATATATTAGCAAAACAATGCTTTTAAAGTTTGCAAATTTTCAATATTGTTAGATACTTACAAGAAGTCGTTCCCAAGCACAAATTCTTTTCTTCCTCAGTGAAGTTAGAATATTTTATTGGACATGGAATGTAATATCTAACTATTTGGCCGAGTTCATTGGATAACTTAGCTGATTCAATTCGATTTAAAGGACGCCCATGCTCTACATCAACAACAACTTGTAGCTTCTTTCCGGCAACCTCATTCCTTTTAACCAATCCAAATCCCCTTGTCGGTCCTCTACATGGCTTCTTTTTGGATAACCCACCATCTAAAAAGCAAATGTGAAATAATAATAATAATTACAACAGTGTTAGAAAATATAATATATTTCTATTGATATCATTGGATTTCTTATTTTCAAATTGTAACCTGTGTTTGGTGTTGCATCTGGTGATAAAGAGGATGGCATGCTTTGATTTAGTTGATCTACAGATTGTGTATTGTTCACTTCAGGATTAGATCTTGGAAGAGAAGTTGTAGAATCCATCACTTCAGTGTTAGTTGTGAGCGAAATCCTATTAGTGACTTCAACAGCTGATGATGACGAATTTCTGTGTTTTTTTGATTGACCAGGTGCCATTTAATAACCTGCAAAAGTGAGAGAAAAAAGTAATTAGCTTAAGTAATGGTTTGCTATTTTTTAATGTCAATTCATACTCTTTAATATATTAACATACTTTGAGAAAACAATTAAACAATTCACTTATGAATCTTCAATTTCATCAGAATCATCATTCATTTCTTCCTCATTACTATCATACTCAATAGGAGATTCATCTTCATCATCTGATATTACAAAATCTTCTTCAACTTCAATTCTTTCGGATGGCACAATAATAGCTTTCACAATGTGTGATTCTACATCTACTCTATGCAAGGATGTAGAAATGTCATCAGATAGTCCAACAGTTATGCCATTACTAGATACCATCTCATTGTCTTGATAAACATCATTATTATCAAGTGTGTCATCTTTATCATCTGGTATACTATCAACTTCATTTTCATCATAAATATGTCTATGTTGAAATTGTTGAACAACTCGCCAATTTAATCCAAACTTTGGATCATTTAGGTAGAAGACTTGCTTTGCTTGAGAAGCTAAAACATATGGATCATTTTTATACCAAAAGCTTGAAACTTTAATGCTAGTAAATATCCCATCATGTTGAATAAATGACCTTTTTCCAATATCAAACCAATCACATTTGAAAAGAACAATGCGGTATCCTTTAATGTATTCCAACTCAATTACATCGTTTAACACACCATAAAAATCAATCAATTCATTTTCATGATTTCCTTGCACAGAAATTCCACAATTTTGAGTTTTATGACGACTATCACGATCTTTTGTATGGAATCTAACTCCATTCACTATGCAAGATGCATATTTTCGAACACACAGTTGAGGTCCACAAGCTAGTGAGTATAAGTCATCCATAGCTTTAGTTGCATGTGCATTATGTAATTGGAATACCTAACAGTTCAATTACAAAAATATCAATAATAAGAATAAAGCATATTTTAGGTATTGTTTAATAATATTAATGTTGCACTAACACTAACCTTCTCCCTAAACCACTTTGGGAACTTCATCTTATGTCTGTCATTGACATTAGTCAAACTTCCCTTCTCAAGTAAACCCCTACGAATGTTGGAAAGAATAAGAAAATATTAACTAAAATGAATTAGCTTTAAATTTCAAATTTAGTTATATGATCTTATGTCAAAAAATATACTTACTCAATATATGATTCAGCTTCATCACAATTACTCAATACAAACCATTCAACCTTATTAAGTTCTTCCTTGGTTAATTTTTCATAGTTCCAAGCACCAAACGAACGAACCTTATGTGAAAATATTGACAACCCATCATGTGTTTCTTGTCTATCATTATTTCTATCTGGTTTGTTGAAACGAGTCTCTACTCCATTAAGGTATAGAGAAAGAAAAGTCAAGCATTCATTTGCAACATAACCCTCAGCAATTGATCTTTCTGGATGAGCTTTATTTCTCACATAATGTTTAAGTGAGCCTAAGAACCTACAACAAGAATATAATGATGTTTTTAGATTATATTACAATAGTATAAGTGTTGGTAAGGTAAATAGAGAGTTAATGAAAATTATTATATGAAATATATATCACCTTTCAATCATAAACATCCATCTAAATTGTACTGGTCCACCTAGGGCAGCTTCTTGTGGAAGGTGAATTGCTAGATGTACCATGACATCGAAGAAAGCCGGTGGATAAATCATCTCAAACTTACAAAGTATGATAACAATATCATTGCGTAGGACATCTAAATCTGCCAGCTTTAAGGTCTTACAACACAACTTCCTAAAGAAATCCCCTAATTCAGATAACACAGTAGTAACTTCTTTTTCTAAGCTTCCACGCACTCCAACAGGTAATACTCTTTGTAATAAAACATGGCAGTCATGGCTTTTTAAACCCATAAGTTTACCATCAGCATTCACACACCTAGAGATATTAGAAGCATAACCATCTGGAAACTTTATAAACTTCAAAAATTCTGCAAATTTCAATCTCTCTTCTCTTGTCAACATATAACATGGATGTGGAACTTCATATGATCCATTTGATTTCTTAACCAAATGCAATTCCTTCCTAATATTCATATCATCTAAATCTTGTCTTGCTTTCAAAGTGTCATTATTTTTCCCATCAATATTTAGCAAAGTTCCAATGATATTATCACATATGTTTTTCTCAATATGCATAACATCAAGATTGTGCCTTAATTTCAATTTTTCCCAATAAGGCAGCTTGAAGAATATACTTTTTTTACACCAGTTAAGGTCTTCAAGATTTTGTTTCCTTTTTCTTTTGTTTGGATGCTTACCAAATGGACTGTCACTTATTTCATGTAGTTGCCTTAACACATCCTCACCTGATAACTCCAAAGGGGCACTTCGACTCTCCACTTTCCCATTAAACTTCTTGCTTCGCCTCCATGTGTGATTAGTGGGCAAGAAACGACGATGGCCTATATATCCCAACTTACTCCTTAATCTAACAGAACATGGGTCATCATTGCAAACTGGGCAAGCCATGTATCCTTTAGTAGACCATCCAGACAAGTTGCCATGAGTTGAAAAATCATTTATAGTCCACATGATAGAAGCATGTAATTGAAAATTTGTTAAAGAACAAGCATCATATGTTGTCACACCTATTTCCAATAGTTCTATGAGATCTTCAATTAAAGGTTGCAAATAAACATCAATATCTCTTCCAGGTGCTTTAGGGCCAGGTATAAGTAATGTTAGCATAAAGAATGGATCCTTCATACACATCCATGGCGGTAAATTATAAGGGATTAATATAACAGGCCACATGCCATAAGAATTATCCATATTACCAAATGGGTTGAATCCATCCGAAGCTAAACCAAGCCTAACATTTCGTGCATCATTAGCAAACCATGGAAACTCTTGATCAAAATCCTTCCAAGCCTTAGAATCGGCCGGATGACGCAAATATTCACCATCATCAATTCGTCTTTCTTTATGCCATCTCATATCTTTTGCAGTTTTTTTTTACATAAAAAATCTTTGAAGCCTAGGTTTTAGAGGAAAGTATCTCAATATTTTATGAGGAAGATTCTTTCCTTTACCATCCTTAACTTTCCATCTAGAAGTACCACAAATAGGACAAAACTCATGCTTCTCTAATTCCTTCCAAAATAACACACAATCATATTTGCATGCATGAATATTTATATATCCCAATCCCAAACTACGAAGCATAGCTTTAGACTCATAGTGAGAACGTGGAAGTGTATTTCCATCAGGTAAGCATTCACTTAGTAATTCAAGCAACATGTCAAACGATTTATTACTCCATTTATTATACACTTTCAAATGAAGCAACTTCACCGTTAAAGACAATTTTGAGAATTTAGTGCAACCTGGATATAATTCTTGTTTTGCTTCCCTCAACATGTTCTCAAAACCATCAACTTCACAAATACTTTTTATATTGGGATTTGAATGAGAGTTGAAGTCCCCAAAATTTTCATAATCATTTAAGAACTCTTGGACTCCATCTATGTGTTCCTCACTTAAATCATCATCCTCAATATGAAAATCATTTATAATTGATTCTTGAAAAATTGGTGGCTCTCCATGGAATATCCAACGTGTGTAACCCGTGTCTATACCATTTTGGCGCAAATGCATGTATACCGAACTTTGATTTAAGAAACATGTGTTTAAGCATTTTTTACATGGACACCTTATCTCACAATCATGTCCATTGTTCTTAACCACAAATATCATAAATTCCTTAAGTCCTTCAATATATTCATTGGACCTTTTATTTTGTGTCATCCATGCCTTATCCATAGAGAAACACTTTACCTATTATATAATACAAATAATGACTTACAACATAAATTATTTAAAGCTATAATGCACAACTATATTATCACATACGTTAACGCATTTTCTCAAAAAATAAATGACAAATGGCAAACATAACATTATATTATACTGTAGAAGACAAACTGACATGATGCATTTACTTCATCTTTTTCCATTCATCGGTCTTCTGTTTCAATTTTTACATAGACTCTCTCTACTACAGTTCAGAATAAATGCTTGAGTTGGTTTAGTTTATTTTTAAAAATATAAAAGCATTTTCTCAAAAAATAAATGCTCACATGACTAACATAACATTGCATTATAGTGTCGACCACAAAACATAATGCATTTACTTCATCTTTTTCTATTCCTTTGTCTTTTGTCTTAATCTATATTTATTTTTGCTTTCTATTAAAATTAATTTTCTTTAATAGAAAATTACAGACATAGACATATACCATTCAAATGCAAATTAGAAGAATCATATGAATAAGGAACAGAGAATCCAAACAATGCAAAATAATAACAAAATGCTTCGTATTTCAAAAATAAAAAATATATATATGGATGAAAAAGAAATCCGCATACAGTGCCGAATTCTTAAATAAGTGAAACATCATTGGAAACTAGCATTCTTAAACCAAACACATGCCTAATAGTATTTTAAAAAAATCACCTCTGTATTGCAATTGCGCAGTTGATGTTCTTATCGAAATTAGTAACTGCAAAAAAAAAAATAAAAAATAAATCACTTATCATTGAAAATATGATTAGTTCAACATTATAAATTTCTTTAATACAAACATATATAAAAAATGAAAAAAAAACTTAAAATTTACAAATCCCAGAATCTGATCTCCTTCCATTTTTTTTTTCTAATTCATTCTTCATTAACACACATAATCCAAACTTACCACTTACAGAGTATCACATGGAGAGAACATAAAATTTACAGATTCCATCTGATTTCTTTCTTCAATTTTTTTTTTTTTTCTGATTCCTTCTTCATTAACACACATGATACAGAGGATTTCAATATATGATTTATCATCTAACATTGATACTTCAAAAATATAAATTAATAGGCCATATATATATATATATATATATATATATATATATATATATATATATATATATATATATATATATATAGAAGAGCGCTCATATGCGGCGGGGTCTTACGGTGCGGCGGTGCGATCAAATTCCAGAATACACCAACAGTGTTAACAATATGCACCAACAGTGTAATAAAAACACACCCCAATGAAATGTAACAAAACATCATAAAATACACCACAGACTCAAAAAAACACACCATATAACTCACCACCCCCAATGGTGTATTTCCGAACAGTGTATGGTGTTTTTACTCACACCTAATGGTGTGTGTTTGGTGATGCAGGGCTCTGTTTACTCTGTTTTGTGTGGTGTATTTCCTAACGTTGATGGTGCATATTTGGTGAACTATTGGTGTTGCCGCACCGTAAGAAATAACCGCACCGTAAGACACTGCCGCACCTGAACCCGCCTATATATATATATATATATATATATATATATATATATATATATATATATATATATATATATATATATATATATATACATTTTTAGAGAGGGAAACAAAGAAATATTCTATACCACCTACAGAGTATGACAGGGGGAGAATACAAATGGTAAAGTCAACTAGATAACCACTAATCACATACATGATGGTCTTATCTCAAGTTTTCATTTAAAACCTAAAGAAACAAAAAGAAAAACAAAAAATTTTTTTTTAATAAATTTTATTAAAACTAGAACCAAGAATAGAAGTAAGAAATTAAAAGGTCAAAACTAGTTGAATAGAAAAGCAAGAACAGATAAATTTGGGTGAAGATTTGTAAGTTAGGGTTTATACTCACCTAGGCATACAACCTCTTCTTCTTCACTGTGTACGATTTTTGATGATGTATTGCAACACTATGAAGCTTTCGAGTTCAATATGGTGAAGAGATGAGAGCTTGCCTGAGATTGTGAGAAGAGTTCATCGCGAAAGATTGTCTGAGGGTAGAAAAATATGTGAGGCTCTGGATAAAAGAGAATTTTTACATATTATTATTTATTTAGTTATTATGAGTGGAGGGAGCTGAGTGGAGACAGTGGAGGGAGTGGAGGGCGCGAAATGAAATTTTTTCCCGGTAAAATTAATGTTTCAATTTTAGTGACGTTTTATTTCACATCACATTTGTAAAATAAAAGCTTTGGTGACGTTTATTATATAACGTCGTCTATTCTATACCTTTCCCGATGAAAAAATTAAAATTTCGTCAGTAAAAATAATGCAATCTTAATTATTCATAAAAGTATAAATAGTGACGATATGCAATATAACCGTCACAAAATGAGACGTTTAACGACGTTTTTTATAGCGTCGTTAAATCTTTCGTCGTTAAATGCCAGATTTCTTGTAGTGTGCTAGTTTACAAACTCAGCACTTCTACAACACCGAGTGCTTCGCACAAAGCTTATACTCCCAGGGTTTTCACAAGCTCCTCTTGTTACTCTTCCCTCTATCTACACTAGTATAAATTTTGATTACAAGAAAATATAATTCTCTTTTCTCTCCAACTCTTAGATACATTAGAGATTAGTCTCTTTTCTATAAGGATCTATGAACTTGAAGTTTTTGATTTTGAGCTCTTTTCACGTATACTTTGTTATTCTCAGACATCTCCACACTTCTGTTCTTGCTCTTCAAGTCTCCATGCCTTTTATAGGTGATCAAATGTAACCGTTGGAGCGAGATAATTTGATTTTTAAATCTTGGAATTTGTAGCCTGATATGATAATTTGACAACTTGATCGTTTCTTTCGGCTTCAGTTGCAACTTGATTCTAACAGGTTGAAATTTTCTTCTTTGCAACTTGGTTTGTATCTCCAAGCTTTGTTGACTTTGTAGTTCCTTTCACATTTGACATGTCTTCTTCTTGTAATAATCATAGAAGTAATATTTGAGTTGTAGCAGATGACCCTTATCGTATTCTCCTTCGCATTTCTATTGGTAGTGTGTATTAGTCTTCTTGATTTCTTGATTTCTATTTGTTGTGTGTATTGATCTTTCTTGATTTCTTGATTTTGGTTGATCTTCACTAGCAGTTATTGAGTTTTTGTAGATTGATCCCAAATATATTCTAAGCATGAGTTTTATCTTTCACTTAGTATTCTCGCTATTTTTCTTCTAGTGACCAATGCTACTTCTAGCAAGTTTGTTAGCATCTTCTTCTTTGCATTCAGGCCACTTCTTAATGCTAACTTTAGCAACATTAATAAAATGTTTTCAAGACGATTTGAGCCTTGTACCTTGATATCACTTTCCTTGCTAACAAGTAATAACTCTTCAACTCAATTAATTTGTTGAGAGTGTGATTCGAACCATGCCTTTTCTTTCTTCAAGACTAATTGGCATCCCTCCTAACAATCTTGCTACTTCATAATCTTTCTTTTGCTAGGATTTGAACTCATGACTTTCCTTGACCATCCTTACTAACATTTTACCTTCAAGAAATTCGAATCATAAACCATATCTAACCTTTTAACTTTGCTAACACTTTTGGTAGAATTTCTTCTAGAATTCACGCCATTTTCGTTTTAAAATAGCATCAAAGACTTAGCTATTTTGAGAATGAATTCACCAATGCAATTTTGTTCCTTTGTTTAAATAGAGTGTTCATCTTCTTTCTTGGGCTGAATTACGAGGCTTGAACACAGCAAAACTCTAGACACAAAAATAAAATGAATTTTGGGGTTTAAAATGTTTTTTTTTTAAAATACATTTTAGCTCATCAAAATCTTATATAACTAATCCGGACAGATTATTTACTGTATTTGATTAGTACATCGCAATAACGTTGCCCTAGGAGTGGTCCGACAGTTTATGAAGTGAAATGAAAAGGAATTAGGATTTGTCTGAGCATTAAAATGATAAATAATAAGAAAAAAAAAAGACCCCCATAGCCCATAAGTCTTGTTCTAAATTATTGTATGTCTTTTCTTTTTTTTTTTTAAAGGGAAAATTGTAAAAAAATGTCCCTCTATAATATGTCAATCATTAATATAATGTCACCCCTGAATTATGAGGGGTGTAAATGTTGCCCCTCAATTATCAAAATGGT